TGCTTAATCAAAAGTAAACCCGAAAGCGAAATAACGTTGGAAATAAAACTTCTGGGATTGATTAAACAATTTACTGTACTTGTTTTCTGATTTCATGTTAATTCACGTTAAATATTGCATGAATGGAGTAAAAATGAAATAGAATTAATCCAAAATGAAGTAAAAATGAGAAAGGTGAAAAGACATTTTACTTCTAAGTAAGTATTTCTAAGTCCAAATGTCATTCTACAAAAATTAGGGAATTCCTATTGAAATTGTTGATTTGCTTTTCACGAATTTTTTTTTAAGCATTTCACACCAAGCAAGGGGGGAAGCCACTAGGACGCAAGGGGTTACAAAAAATTTACAGCAAGATCAGATAGGAGTGATAGAAGAAAGGTTGTGGGTAGTGAATAGATCAAGGCAACTGGAGATGTCAATTGACTAGGGAAGGGAGTTCCACAGGCGAGAGGCGAGAGGCGCGAGACATGAAGCTATTGGAGTAGAAGAGACGGCTACATTTAGGAGTTTTGACAGTGAAGGGGTGAGAGCGGGATGCCAGCCTCGTATGGCGCTTGAACTCATGAAGTCTGGGAACCAGCGAATGCAGCTCCTCGGAGCAATTTCCATGAAAGTATTTGTAGAACAGACAGAGGGAGGCGACGGCGCGTCTGTGAGAAATTGACTGTAGACGAGACGCCAGATCAAGGCCAACTACATTGCATATCCGCCTCTGGAGCCTATCAAGAACCCCGCGGCAAACAGAAAGGGGCACCAGACCATATATGGCAGCAATAATCCATGCAAGGGCGAATTGTTGATTTGTAGATCTAGAGGATCGACTCCGGGGAGAAAAGCTTTCTTGGTGCGGCTCAGGGAGCCAACTTTCCTTGTGGTGGACGAAGCAATTGACTCAATGTATTTATTCCATCTCAGGTCAGCAGTCAACGTGAGACCGAGAAGCCGCAGAGAGTTGCTCTCGAGAAGTTGAGCATCAGACATTCTAATGGAGGGAAGGGAAGGATCTCTGTGGTGATTAATAGAGAGCAGTTTTGTCTTAGAAGCGTTGAAGTTGACCAGCCAATTTTTGCCCCAGTTCACGATTGGAGGTCCTTTTCGAGACGCACGGCCAGGTGAGTTTTGTCAGTGAGACTAGATTTGTTTTTGAGGCAGGAATAAATTGTGGTGTCATCCGCGTAGATGCCAACTTGGGAAGTTATGGCGTCAGGAAGGTCATTTATGTAGATAAGGAATAGAGTGGGGCCTAGGATGGAGCCTTGAGGAACACCTGCGTTCGTGGGATAAGAACTGGATGAGAATCCGTTGAGAACGACCTTCAATTCACGATTTGACAGGAATTATTGTATTAGGTTATATAACCGACCCGTAATGCCATAACCCTGGAGCTTGCGAAGAAGGCCGGCATGCCAAACACTATCAAATGCTTTGGAGATGTCTAGTGCCACGGCACGGGCTTCCCCGTTATTTTGAAGAGCTCGGTGGACAGTTTCAGTGATGGTTGTAAGCACATCAGCTGTAGATCGGGCAAAGTGGAAACCATATTGCTTGTCTGAGAGCAGATTATGGGATGTGAGGTGGTTAACCACCTCGGTATTGATTAGGGCTTTGAAGACTTTGCCGAAGAGGGGAAAGGAGACTGATAGGACGGTAGTTGGAAGAGTCAGAGGGGTCGCCGGAGTTCTTGAAGACAGGAACGATCGAAGAGGACTTCCAGCAGTCAGGAAAACAAGATTCCTTGAGGCAGTAGTTGTATAGTTTAGAAAGGGCGGGCGCCAGTTCAGGCGCGCATTTCTTCAAGACAATGGCTGGTATCCCGTCTCCACCACTAGCCTTGTTGGGGTTTAAATTGGAGTTAACGCCTAGTGCCAAAGCTGGGGTTATGTTTAACCCACTCAATATGGCCTCAGTTCTAAAAGCGAAATCGGGTATGGGTACACCGGAAGAGTCGAGCGTCGAGTTGAATGAAAATTTCCGAGCAAAGCATTCAGCCTTGTCGGTAGAGGAGGTCAGGACTTCGAACTAGTTGAATAAAGGAGGTATAGAGAGTTTTCAATTGTTCAATACGCTCTTGCAGAGACGCCAATAATCTTTGGAGCCAAATTTGCGAGATGCAATACGTTCCTTCACCCGAGCCGCAAATAGTGACACGCTTACATTCGTTACGGGCGGAGGCAAAGAGACGTCTATTGCAGTTAGACATGTCGCTACGGAATAGGTGGAAGTAGTGGTTCCTATAGGCGATGGCGGCTGAGCAATCAGCGGAGAACCAGGGGGAGGAGCGCGACTTGACCCTATATTTCCTTGATGGGATGAAAGCGTCGATTCCAGCTTTAACCCAGGAAGAGACCTCAGAAGCACATTCTTGGACGGGGAGCTTAAAGACTCCATCCCAGGGGACATCGCGGAGGAAATTATCAATCCTTTAAGGGTTATTTAATGCCGAAACTTATTTTTGAATTGTAAAAATTATCCTCATTTTTAGGCTTTAATATTATACTAACAAATTTATTGGGGATAACAATTACTATTGCTTATACAATTTATGTTATTTAATGTACAGCTGGTGGCGGGCATAGGGGAAGAAGAGTTAGATTAATAACTCATTTGTGCATAAATGAATATAAATTCACAGACTTAAATGTGAATCCCCGTTGCTTTCATATTCATTTGGAAAGAAATAAGTTCCAATCGGACAACTTCCTCTGAAGAGGATTCTTTCCCAACCACTAGAATCTTAACCATTTTCAAGTCTAGGTTCAAGGTGAACTATCCGCCATATTTACATAATATATAATTCTTTGATATGCATACATATATATATATATATATATATATATATATATATATATATATATATATATATAGATAGATAGATAGATTAGGAATAGTGAAAGAGAAGATAAAATGAATTGACCTAAAATTAAATTACATTAAAAATGGGAAAATTAAAATAAATACAAGAGAAATGAGGTCAGAGATCCCATAGAAAATGGAGGTTTTCAAAAACATCACCTTGACACAAAGGTTCCCGTACGATCACGGAAGTTAAACAATGTTGAGCCTGGATGTGTGACCGCTTGGGAATACCAGGTGCTGTAAGCTTGGATGTGTGTACGGTCTAATTCAATATGGTTCCAAGTTGTAAATCAGAGAGCTGAGTTTTAATTCAAGACGGGTTCGTTATATTTACTTATACATAAATACTCATGGGAAAGCTGTGAATTCACCTCTTCTCCCCACAGATATGGGTTAATTAGTAAGATTTGTATAAGTGAACAATTATTAACATTTTTTAAGTCGAAAAAAATAACGTTCAAAACACCCAGCACCGTAGTAAAAACAATAAATTAAAATCGACGTGACCCAAAAAGGCATACTTTACCGCCACAAAAGTTAAATTAGACAAGAACAACATAATTCTCGCATCGAGAGCCTATTCATGGCAAATATTCGGATGAGCTTTACCCTTTAGATATTTAAATTCAAACCATTACATCTAGGCTATTCCATGGAGGTGAAAGGACGTAATTTCTCCAGTTTTCCGAACGTCAGGAGTATGTTCCCCTCAGACATCTTTTCCCAAGAACTGCTACTTTGTGGAAAACACAATCTCCAAGTCAATTTCAGATTTTGACTATCCTTATAATCCCCACTAATAGCCATCTCTTCTTCCGTTTATATCGCATACATCATTCGTTATAACAATTTAATAGCAATTCATTTTTATTATTAGAAATGATCAGAAATGACAACGTCTTGGTCGGTTTGAATTCGTTGAAATTTACTAAAAATATAAAATTGGTTTATAAATAGTGCTGAATAAACACGATTTGTATTCTCGTCAGTTCTGTTCATTATCTGAAATAAGAAGCTGAAGTACGAAATAATTTACAACATCTCAAACGCTTGATGCAAAATTCGGTGTCCTTCTGAATTAAGGTAAAGGTCCCTTCACCTGTTGTCACATGTGATTCTTTATCAATGTTTGCTTCGAATTCGAAGAAATAATGAAAGATGCATGCTGACTGGATTAAATTGTCATGATCCAGTCAAGTTGCATCTTACATTATTTCTTCGAGTTGAACAAAATAAATTAATTAAATCTGAGTAATTTCTCAATTTTTCTCTTTTATTTCTAATTTCTTGACAAGATAAATCATTCAGTTTTATAGGGTGTTGCCTTTTAGATTGTTTATTAATCTTTTTTTGGGCTGGTAACATTTGATCGCATTTACAAAATCAAGAAAATCACGCATAAGGCATTTGTTCGGCCTAAATCATATACGGAAAGCGTGAAATAACAAAAATTATAGTAGAAAAGATACAAATAAAACAAGAGGTTATTAATGTAAAAGCAACTAAATTGGTTAGTGTTTGTTTGTAAATATTTTTGTTGTGGTTATTCGTAGAATTTCTTTTTTCGTTGCATGTAGATGATTCCGCTTGACGTAATATAAACCCATATAAACAACCGGAAGCAAAGTAAAAGATAACGTCAAAAGACTGTTTGCGTCGAATAAAGCACCTGAAAAAATCAAGAAGAAAAATTTTTCGGGTATCATATATATACATGCTTCAATGTAGAAGCGGTTTCAATTTTAAAGAACCTTAATTGAGTCACCAAAATTTAACGATAGTTGATTTTTCCCTCAGTGATTTTACCATTTTATCATTTTGCTCGGAAGATGTCAGAGCAAGTGACAAGTAGATGTGAGGCAGAACTTGTTAAGCGGAAGGAAAGATTAAGGAAGAAGCATTTTATTCAATTTAATAAATTCCAGTCGGAATTTGTCGAGGAGCGTTCATAATTTTTAGATTTTATACTTTAGAGCGAGGAATAGAAAAAAAAAAATTCATGAACATTTTATAAAATTCCATTCTGTTTTGTTTTGTTCATCACATTGAAAATTGAATATCTCACGCCGAATGTCATGTGATGATAATTATACAAAATGCTGCCCACCCAAATCAATTAGGTTGACTCGTTGTAAAAAATGGCGTCAAGTTTTGCGACATTCGGAAAGATTTTGTAAAGCCACACCAATCAAAAGACTCAAGGGAGAAAAACCTTTTTCCAACTTTTTCACTCCCAAGATGGATGCCACAAGTACAACACGTAGAGCAGAGGCAAATCCTACAAAATAAAACGAGAAGAATTTGTCTTAATTTCAGAGTTGAGGACAATACACTGGGTCTGGGTATAGAAATGAATTTCCTTGGTTTAGTTTGGAGAAACATTATATTTTGATTGGTTTATATTCTTACTTTATTCAAACGTGTGTCACATTCGGCAACTGAATTCATTAATTACGGCATTCATGCAAAGTGTTATCATATCGCTGTCCATGCTAGGAAATAATCTTATAATACGTCATATTTCAGTGATAATTCCTCATTTTCCTGCGGTGTCTAGTTGTTCAATTGAAGTAGAATAAATGAATTTGAGTGCCTGACGCAAAGCCTGAACTCACGACCAGTTAGTAACAAACGGCTATATATAAGCATTGGTTCGGGTATACGGTTACGTTGTGAGCGCGATTTCAATCATTTTGAAGCAAAGTAAATGAATTTCATTGATGAAACTCAATAAGCTATTAAAATTAAATACAAAACAATAATTGTTAAAACCTAACAATTCTGATACTTACAAGATTATACTGAATTGGTAGGAAATTGTTCGTTAATAAGTAGGATAATTGTAAAGCGATTTATAAAAATAGACTAAACTTTTATGGAAATATTTTAGGACTCAGTGAATTAAAATATAGAAGAGAACTCGTAAACGCACATACACACACAATTTGAACGACGAAATGGACACCTCTTTCAAGAAAGCCAATTTTTTTTATGTCTAGCAGCAACCCCTGAGTAATCGGAAAAATGTATAATCCTAAATTTGGCGTCTCTTTAATGTCATTTTTTTCCTGTCTCTCTATTTTCCGTGTAAATATAGCGTTTGAAATAGGCAAACAATTTTGATTTTAAATGTGCCGTCAGCGAAACATCGGGTCCAAAATAGACTTGAAATAATTTATTGTGATTCGAAATACTCACCCTTGCACATCGCAAACAGGGATATGAACAGGACGAAAAAAGCGAATGAATGGACGAATGTAAAAGCGACAGTTGTGGCTGACATGACGAGCATTGAAAACATCAGAATGTAGCTTGTTGGGATATGAATAAAGTCAGCCAGAATTCCAACAATAAATTGGCTAAACGCAAACATGGCGCCATAGATGGACATGATTAAGGCTCCTTGCTCGATTGAGAGACCAACGTTTACAGCTTTTGCAGGAAGATACAGCAAAACAGTTTCGGCGGCTGAAAAGAAAATTACAACAAAAATGCAAATTGAGAAATTTACATGTCATTATTTCAACAACTCTCTCTCTGTCTCCCTCTCTCTGTCTCCCTCTCTCTCTCTCTCTATATATATATATATATATATATATATATATATATATATATAATGAAAAACAGACTTTAAGGTACCATTACAATAATTTATTTCACCAGAGTCCTTTTAAAAAGACGCCGGATCATCAGGTAACACTTCCAACAACGAAATGAAACGAAAAATGAGATTAAAATTGATGAGTAGTGTAAGTTTTTGTAATTTAACGGGGGTGATGAGGGGGGATAGTTAAAGAGACAGGGTAGAGTATAGGGAGGGGTTGATTTCATATCTCTCTTAAGTGTGCTTTATATTGGGGTAGGAGGAGTGCCAGACCTTGACCTATTTAGATGGTTAACTTAACGGAAATGATATATAGAAATGGGAGGGGAGTGGGGAGAAAAGAAAAGGAAAAATGGAAAAGAAAGAGGAGACAGAAAACAGTAATACAGATATATACAAAGGGGTGTTACGGCAAGGAGAGAGAGGGAGAGGGAAATAAATCGAAAGAGGCTGTAATTGGGTTTTAACAAATTTATGTAAAGGATAGATTTCCATGCTTGATAGAAATTTAGATGTCTAAAAAATTTGATGATTGTTATCAATTTAAATATTTAATTTTTTAAGCGAATAGTTTAGGGACTTAATATAAGTTAACTCCTATTTTTATTCGCACATTTATAGAGAACATATTAAAGAAGTATTTCAAATTATAATAGTTTATTTACCCGACCAATCGTACTTCCTTAATATTGTAAAAAAAGTTAACATTTTTATTGGTTTTACTTTTAATCTAATTTATGAATGCAATTTTTCTTTATTATTATATAGGTAAACTTACTTAAGGTTTAGGTTTCATTATGGAATAATATTTGAGGGTAATATTAAAGATTTTGTTTTCTTCTTATATATTACAAACATATTCATGCAAATCCCATATATACACACGTTTATTTACATGCGCAAATAAACACATAGACACACGTGTAACAATATACACAAATGTTCATCTATATTCATAAATAAATTATATATACATGTATTTATAAATAATTACCTATATTTTAATATTTGAAATTTATTTAGATTTTTGTTTGATTTCATAGTTAAAGTTTAACGTTAGGTGACTTCTGAAGTGCTTCATTATTAAAAAGAAATTGTCAATATTTTACTATTACTATTGATAGTTAAAGAGTGGTATATTTAAATTTAAGTTATCAATTTAAAATGAAAATGCCCCCAGAAGATAAATATACACTCTCATAATTCTAATCATAGAACATTAAAAGAGAAAGTGATATTAAATATTAAAAAGAGTAATTTTAAAACACCATTAGAATGACCCATGTCTTTCCATTTGAAAACATTCCATACACACACACACACACACACACACATATATATATATATATATATATATATATATATATATATATATATATATATATATATATATATATACACCACCTATATATACATATACATACATATACAACCATATATATATATATACAACCATATATATACACATATATACACATCTACATACACATATACATATACCTACATATACACACACGATTATATACATAAAAAAGCATATGAAAAGAATTCTACCCGTAACCATCCACACATGCATATGTATTTATATTACTGTTATACATATATTCACACATATATTACAAATATTAATTCTAAAATATTTACATCTATATACATATACATATACAGATTACATGCAATTTTATATTCAAAAATTATATATATATATATATATATATATATATATATATATATATATATATATATATATACATCTACACATACGCACAAATATATATTCATATGCATACACATACGTATATGCAAAACACACATACATATATATATAACGATACCTAGCACAAAAAATACGCTAGTACCTATACATACTCCATACTTATATATTCATATTCACACATATGCATATATATACATATATACATACACATGCCTCTATACATATGTGCCTACAATTCATACAAATACATATATTCATATATGCAACCTTATCCAAAATGTCCATACATATATATATATAAATTCACATATAAATGTCTAAGTTCATCTACTTTTTAGAGTATATACGAACAAGTATAGTATCCATGTGTTCATACATTCATTTCGAAAACAAAAGTAATATTTTCCCTTTTTATATAGTTACTTCTAAATATATTTAGTTAAATTGATGTGGTTTTTATGTCTAAAGATGTTTTTATGTTTAAAAATTAACTCGTTATGCTTGTTCAGTAATATGTACGGATCCTATATATATAGTAAAGGTAACAAATCCGTTGGTATATAATCCAAGTGGATCCTAGTAAAATAAAATATTAAAACTGATATACAAAATATCTCAATATATTTATTAATACAGAGCCATATAATTAATTATATATACGTGTGTGTATTGTGTGTGTGTGTGTATAGTATGTGTATTGTGTGTGTGCGTTAAAATCATTCTTATGTAAATAAAACTTAAGGCAAAACGCGTACCGCCCAATTCTGAGAGCGGTGGATATTAATATTCTAAGTAGAAATTTATAAATAATGCCCAATTTTTATAAGCCCATAAAATCGGATTTTTTAAATCTTGCAATATTTGGGCTAGAAGAAAATTTCGTTTCGTGTTTCACGGGATTTCACTACACACGTGACTGAAGTTTACGACATATGTGCATATTCTCCAAGTTGTTGCAACGCGACTTTTTGCAAGATTCGTCAGTAGATTATGAATTTTAAATGATTTTTTCATTAAGTGTTTAATTACATTTGATTCTCTTTTTTTTCAATGAGAAAAAAACTGTATAAACTCTTAAAAAAGAAGACATGTGCCGCTTATAACGAGGATGTCATAGCTGTTTGTAACTGATTCACTTGGTTCAGAATCGGAAATTTAGATCCAGCAGACGGAAAACTGTCCTGTAGGCTTGCAAAGGCTAATTGGTATGAGCGACATTGAGATCTGTAGACGTATTGGCATAGCCAAGGACAAATTCTAAAAGATGAGCAGAGTATTGCGAGACAGCAGGATTTCTTTAGTAACAAAGAAAAGAATATTGACCTGTTAAGTGACATCTGTTCTTCTTTACGGCAGCGAATGTTGGACGATTGCAGCAAAGATGAAGAAGAGACTCAAGGCGACGGAGATGTGGTGCTACAGAAGGCAGCTAAGGATATCATGGACCGAGCGTTTGAGCAACGATGGAATCTTAGAGAGGTTGCAAACAAGACGAAGCCTTTTACTTAACATCAGGAAGAGGCAGCTGAAGTTTCTGGGACACATTATGAGGGCCTGGAAAATCTGATACTAATGGGTCGAATAGAGGGAAAAGCGAAAGCGGCGCGTGACATATCTGGCAAGCCTGAGCAAGTGAATGACAGAATGTGGTTTGGGGGAGGAAACAGAGGGAAGGAACTTGTTGAGAGCTGCAAGGAGGGAGGTGGAGAGCCATGATCGCCTACGTCCTGAAAGGACATGGCACAGAAAAAAGCACTGATTAAGAACAATTCAAGTTAAAAGATACAGGATATCACAGAGATAATCTACACATCTCGTATGATTGACTGGTTTGCTTAATTCGATTTCTACTGCCTATCAAACATTTGTAGGTTACTTAAAGCCAGAAAATTGTTTTTAGATTGTAAGAATGTTTTTTAGATAATAATGATTCAGTGATACAAGTTATACTAATTAACACATAGCTTGGGGGAGGAAGAGGTCAATTCATTCCTTTCCAAGGCTATTTACACGTAAATGAATATAAAGGACACAACTGGAATTGAAATTCGGTTCTCTGATTACCAATTCGCAACCATTATCTATTATACCACCGGCACATCCAAGCTTATGGCAGCTGGCTTTCTCAAACGCTACCCCATCAATATACTGACCAGGCTCGAAGTTGCTTAACTTCGTAAGCTATATCTCATATGAAGCATTTGAAAGAAGGTGTATGCGAAAATAGCTACGATATTTGAGTGCCTCTGGAATTAATGGAATAAATTGAAAACGCAACATACAACAACCCATTTTAAAATGAAACATCACAGGCGATTATAAATGGATTGTTATCAACAATACGGAACTATCAATGTCATGGAAAAACAAAATGAGCCACAATTAATCAAAAAGCCTGAAGAAGATGATGCCGTGTATGCGGAGGGATTTGAAAGTCATGGTAGAGTAACAGCGATTTCTGCATCACCAATCGAATATATGAAGCAATAAAAACCGTCCGGAAGTGGCCTATTGGGATATCCAATTATACTGGCTCTACTTACATTAGCCTCAATCTTCAGATTATAAATTATTTCGGTCCCTGCGAAATTCTGTAAATGGGAAGAACCTTAATTATTTGGAAGTCTGTTAAAACTAATTAAACCAGTTCCTCACTCAGAATGATGCTAATTTCTAGGATGATTGAATTCTGAAGCTACCTTGGCGAAATATACCGGAACAAAATGGCGCAGATGTGGTTAAATGAATATTCCTACAAACACTTAAATATTATATTTGAATTTCATTTACAAAATGCAACAATTTTTTTTTCTAAACCAATAATAATATTTTTAAGTATTTATACCGAATTTTACGATGAGCAATGTTGAAAGTCTACCATTTAAATAAAAAAAAATGAACGTAGTATGGTGTGCATATCCTTACCTTTCGTCTTTAATGACAAGCACAATAAGAAGATATATTACCGACATTATCTCATATCTAATAAGGATATTCAGTAACATCGACTCCGTCCGATTAAACAGTATAACATAGTATAATGCCCATTGCTACATTATGCAAATCGATAACTGTAACTATAAGAAATATTCTGATAAAATTATCTACTGCATAAGTAACAGTGTAGAATTATTTAATATTCTCCAT